CTCCCGGTGCCCAAGCCCTCCCTGCATGCTCAGGACAACATCCCTTGGGAACAGGTATCAGATTCTGGAGGGTCTTTCCATTCCTCATCCTGTCCCACCAACCACAGGAGTCTAGATGGGTGGGGAGCAGGAATGGAGTCGGGGGTGAAGGGAATCCCAAGTGTGTTGGGGTACACACCTGGCCTTGGCTTCCTTGTACTCATCAGTGTCCGTATCCTCSTCCTCTGAATACTGGCCCTCAGGCCGCCCCCCTGCCATGAGGCCCCTGGCAGCCAAGAGGCCTGCGGCGTTCCCGTAGCCTGTATACTTGATGAATCGGGGCACTGGGGGCCAGGATACAGGTCAGTGGGTGAATATGGCTGGGGTAGGGCAGGCCTGGGGCTCGGGCTTCCCACACTCACCACTCTCAGAACACAGCACAAAGAGGAATTCAGCAGCTACCCTCTTCACATCCGTGTCCAGGTGTGTCATGAGGCGGACAAGCTTGTTCCGCAGTAGCTCCCCAACCTCAGGCCGGGTCCTCACGTCCCGCAGAGGTGGCAGCACCTGGGGAAGCGGCTGGCACTCAGCCTAGGCTAGGAGCAACTTGAAGTCTGTGAGCAGGGTCCCGCCATGTCCCCCCCCCCCCCCAAGCTCTGGCTCCTCTGCCAAGTACCTGGGCCTTCAGGAATTTCCTGACTGGACGGTGCATGCGGGCACACTCTGTCAGCACACTCAGCACAGGAGCCACACTTTCCTTTAGCCTGTGGGTCTGCAGAGGGACCCGTCACTGGGCAGTACTCCATCTGACTTGGGGTGAAGGGTGGCAGCTACACATGCCCTGGCTAGTCCTGGAAGCAGAGGCTTGTGAGTCCCCAAGGGCCAGGAGCTGGTGGTAGGTGTCTGTCAGTTTTGAAAGGGATGGGAATAGGCCCAAACTCAGGAAGTTAGTTGAAAGCTTTATGAGTTGGAGCAAACGACTCAATGCTTTAAGTCTAACTTTACCATCTATAAACCAGGGTTGTAAGCAGAACACAAAGTATTCCAATTTGTCTACACACCACTGGCATCTTGCTCTCAGAAAATGACAGCAAAAAGAAACAACAGAACCTTTACTCTTTGTGCTTCCTGGACAGCGAGTAGGGAGCTCCTATCACTGYCGGCCTCCCTTGTTATCTCCCAGAGCATAACACCAGCAGCTGCAGCAATAAGGACAGGCAGCCACCCTCCTCACTCAGTTCACATGCATGCAAGCATACTCCACCCCAGCAACATGGCTCCCAGAGATCTGGCAATCTTGGTCTGTGGCTTTTTTGCTGGCTTAATGTCTGTAAGCTCTGGTAGGACTAGAGTTCCAGCTGTCTGGATGTCCTGTGGGCTCACCAGGAAGTCCCTGGTGAATCTCCTTAAGAGGGACAGCTATGCTTATGACCAAGGGGGCTGCCCAAGCACAGGGATATGAGGAGGCTGAGGGTCACAAGCAGGGGCTTCTCAAGATTACTAAAGAGGGAACCACAAAGGGACTGCTAGCATCTTGCTAGAACAACAACAAAAAAAACTCGACTCCTTGTAGCAGTGGGCAGAAATGAAACCTTGAATGAATAAGGTTGTCCACATGTAGAAACAATGACCACAGCTGTGCAAACAGCCAAGGTCAGAGCCACTGCAGAGGACTGCCCAGCAGGTACCCTGCCTACCTGGTGCAAACGCTTCTCTAGGAAGGYGAGGAGGACACCAATCACATCCATGTTCACTCCCATGAACTCCAAGGAGCCTTCATGCAGCTCTAGGGCGAGGAGGACGTCCAAACACTTGACAGGCAAGTTCCCCAGGAGATTCACTGTGTGGCTGGGGATAGAAGGAGAGAGGCCTTGACAGGGCTAATCCTAAGTGCAGTTACAATCCCTGGAGAGGCCACAGATGTGAGCCATAGTCCGGGAGCCTGAAGAACAGTTCTAGGGATCACAGCCAAGGGTAGGGACTGATCTCAGGAATATGCCCAAGTGTATGGTGGTCCCCAGAGTGGCAATCTGCCCCAACATTTGTGTGCTGAAGTACTGACTGATCTCTGGAAACACAGGCCAATCCAGGCACAGTTCACCAAGAACAGGAGCAAGGGACTATACTGCCCTAATACCATGCCAACCTTGGCCACTGCCCAACACCCTGGCCCTAAATTCATGGCTCTTATCCTACTCACACAACAGAAGCACCTGAGGATCCATGTAAACACAAAGATACCATCCTGCCCATATAGACTCTAAGGTAGGGTCTGGGCTCCCAGGTGGCTCTGGTCCAGTGCCATGGTGGGGRATCGCAATCCAGACATCAGAGCATGTCCCTCCTACCAGGATTGGCCCTGTCCTCACCCGTGGAACTCCTCYGTGCGGTCTCCAGCAGCAGCAACCATCACACAGTGCCGCAGAAGGGTTCCCAGGTACTGGTAAAGGGCAGTGTCTTCCTGACAAAGACAGAAAGTGGCTTCTGTGAGAGAAAGCCCCACTTGTCCCAACTGCTGCACTCCAGGACTACGGCACTAACCATTGTACCTTCTCAGCTGCACACCTGGTCCACACCATGCCTGACACCCAGGAACTTGAAGGTACTGTGGAAGGCAGGTCCACAAAATGTCCCAGCTGAGTTAGCAACCACCCATGGGTTCAGGCCACCACTCACCTCGTCCACTTCCCTCTTGATGGAGTCAAAGGTGATATTAAATAGCACCTTGAGGATCTCCATAGCCCGCTCAGTCTCTTGGGGAGGAAGGAGATCAGGTGGGCTCTCTTTTGGGGTCATCCCCAGTGTCAGTTCCAGTGTGTGGGTCAGCAGGTGCACGCCATGCAGCTCCTGAAACAGCTGCTGGCGCACATCAGTGCGGAGTGCTGTTAGTAGGAAGAGGAGCCTTAAATCAAAGAACTGGACTTCATGTGGGAAGCTCTTCTTACTGTACATCCCCACACGCTCTGCTAGCCGCACCACCAGATGGGCCTCTGCTGCCAGTGTCTGTGCCACTGGACTGCTGAGCACAAGGTTGCAGAGACACTTCAGGGACTCTAGTATGACGTCCATATCTGGGGATTCTGGGACAGACCCCTCAGAGGCAGAGATGCCAGCATAGCAAGCTAGTGCATGTAAGCTCTGGCGACTGGTGAATGGGTCCAGGCAGCTGCGGTCCCGGGACAGGATACGGACAGTCTGTAGCCAGGTGACACGGTGTGAGGGTGGCAACCCCTGCTCCAGGACTGTGACCAACAACTCTGCAAGTCTCTGTGGGCAGGAAGAAGAGCGACTCCACTAGGCCCTCTTCCTGGGCAGCCCATCCCTGCACCGTTTCCCCTTGGGCCGGCACCCACCTTCCTGTCCTCCTGTTGGGCCTCGTCAAAGGTGAAGCTCTGGGAGTGCTGCAGAGAGACCCAGTGAAGTCAGATCCACACGCAGGTAGGGCCTGTGTTTCTAGGGTTGGCCTCCCTGCCTCTAATTCTGAGGCAGCAAACACCACTCTGAACAGACGGCAGGGTCTACACTCGGCGTCCACCCCCACGCCCCTCGGCCACAGCACCCCAGACCGGGCTCCCACTCCTCCGCTGCACGGCCCAGGGTTCCCTTCCGCACCTAGCACTCCCTGCCCACCGCGCCAAGGCCACGGGATCCCTTCCCGGAACGCCCCTCGGCCGCCGCCGGCCGCTCACCTCCCGGTTGTACGTCCGTAGAGCTTCCGTGATCACGTCTTCCTTTCCCGTCTCTAGGGCATCCGCCACCGCCCGGGGCTCCATGGTCCCCAGAACCTGCCCCGCCGAGCGCSGGCCAGGCCGAGGCCAGCAGCCGAACCCGCCGGCCCCACCCTAGCCCGGAAGCTCAGCGTCCGCGCGCGACGGACGCCGGGACCGGCTGCGTGGGGCGGGGCCTGCGGCGGCGCGGCTGAAGGTGGCTGGGCCCCGCCGGTGCGGCCCGAGGCACCGGAGACCGCAAGGTTTGGCCTCCAACGCCACCCGGCCCGGTGACCGCCGACCTAGGTCCGCGCCGCCCCGGAGCCGAACAGCGACCCCTCCTCTGCGCCCCGGGGTCTGGGTGCGAGTGTCCGGACGGAGAGGCCCTCAGACCCCGCACAGCGGGCTGTCGAGCGAGGCGTCGGCGGGACTCGGCCGTCCGGGGCCGCTCCCCGCTCAGACTGGAGTCTGCAGTGCGCCTCCCGCGTSAGAGACGCCGGGGAAGCAGGAGGGCGGGGCCCGTGGGTCCCTGCCGCCGGGGAGCTCGCGTTCCCCAGGGGAAGACGGGGAAACGAACCGGACGGCGTGGGCGCTCAGAGGACTCCGGTTGTTTTAAGAGGGTGTCCGGTGGGCGGCAGAGGGCCCGAGGAAGTGCCAGTTCTGAGGAGCCAGGGCGGCCAGGAAAGGTCGGAGGAAGGCCCAGCCGAGCAGAAGGAGCGGCAGGTGCACCGTGCGATGGCCTCGGCAGGCCGCGAGCCGGTGGGGGCGGGAGGGCGGTCAGGGCGGCACCCAGACACGCTGGAGAAAGGGCCCGGGTTAGGGCGGCTCTGAGCATTAAGTGACACAGCCCACTCACTCTTRGCGAGAGGCCACCGAGCACCTGCTTTGTGCCGGCTCTCGCGAGGGCTGCTTCAAAGGCTCCGACGGCCCCGCATCGGTCCTTCCTTCACTTCTTTCTGCAGTTCTCACCGCTGCGCATTAGGCCGTGTCTTCGGCACCCATCTCCACTCTACAGAGACGGTACCGTGCTCGGGGGCGCCACGCTCGCGCCTGAGTCCCTCTCTCACCCACCTGCTAGAACGGGGGCCCGGGCCGTCCCTCCGTCCAGTTCCTACCTGTGAGCTTCTGGCCGGAAGGACCCCCTGACAGACCTCATCCGAGCACTAACAGCATCAACCCACAGGCGGTCGTGAGAGCGGACGCCCCCCTTCGTCATTTCCGTTCCCACGCGATACCACCCATAAACCGGAAGAGCTTGAGCCAAAGGGGCGTGGCCTGCGAGGGGCGGAGCCGGAAGCCTCTTTAGGTGTCGGAGCCACGTCTTTGGCACGGGTGGTCGTCTTGGGGACTAGCTTCGAGACTGGAGCGGGGCGCCATGGCGGACTGGACTCGAGGTGAGCGCACGAGAGCGGGCCGGGGGCCGAGTCTCTGTCTGCCTCCCTCGGTGGAAGGACTCTGCGCGGGGACTTGGAGGCTGGGCCTTTCAGGCGGCTGGGGGACGGAAGCCGGAGGTGCTTGGTGTCATGTGGGTGAGCTGGAGTCTGGAGGGGTCTTGGCGGGGCCAGTCCTTAGGGGTAGAAGCTGTGGCGGGAAAGGGCCAGGCAAGCTTCCGTGGACTAGGGGCCTAGGGCACCTCCTGTGGTCCCCTCTCAGAGCTCTTATTCTCGTCTCCCAAAGGAGATGGTGATGCCTGGGCTGTTGTGTCAACTAAAGGGAGTAATGAACATGAAGTGCTTGGCCGGGCCATGACAGCCCTTTGTTTGGAGTCTGTACACCCCAGTGATTCCTGGGGCTGCGATTCATGTCGGTTCTTCTTGTCCATTGGACCAGCGGGGATTTGTACTCTGTTTGGGGGAAGGCGGTTCTCACCCTTTTGCATCATCTGGTCCTACTCATCACAGTCAGGTTCCTGCACCCACTGTGCTTTGGGTTTGCAGGAGGCCCTGTGTGGGACGCAAGGTGGGCTCACATCTGCTCACATTTTGGAACTAGGGGCTTCATTCATTTTCTCAGGGGTAAAGGTCCTTCCTGATATTCTGGTCTGGTTACTTGTCATTTCCTCTGAGTGTAGTTTGGAGCTCATCCCTGCAGGGTCTTCCTGTCACCTTTCTGGGCGCTCTTTCTTTCTTTTCTGTGCTTCTACCAGATTTTTCTTTGAGAACCAGTCTGACATTCAAAGATGGCGATATCCATGGAGGCAAGTGTTGCATCTTCCTAGCATTTCTGGGATTAACTCAGGTTCCTACTCAATATCAGCAAAAGACCGTTGGACCAAGTGTGTTGGGGGTGCCTGCCCACCCTTACCTGGGTGTCATGYGGGATGTGTGCTTTTGTGACATGTGCTTAACAGCCAGTCTCACACATACATGGTTCAACTACTGGAACTTGGGTTAGGGTTGGACTTTCTCAGCAGACTAAGTTGTCCTAGTCCCTCAAGTGTCTGATTAGGCCAGCATCAATTATAGTAGAGGGATCAGAGACTACACTCATGAGTGGATACAGATCCTCAGCCTTTCTCTTCTTTCAGCTCAGAACCCTGGTGCTGTGGAGGAGATTCTAGACCGGGAGAACAAGCGGATGGCTGACAGCCTGGCCTCCAAGGTTACCAGACTCAAATCGGTCAGTGGTGGCCCTTTTCCCCTCCACCTGGTGGAAGAGTAGGCCTCAGAGGGTGGATAGATGAGCCCAGAGGGATTTGGGGCAGTCATCCACACTCTTTGTTCCATCTGTCCCTGGCTGTTCCATCTGTCACCTGAGTGAGGCTCAAGGTGATACCTGGACTTTTCCAATCTTTGTTGGTGGTACCTTATCTAGCAGTGTGTGGGCAGAGTTCTGGCTGGTTTTAAGGGAGGGTGAGTGCTACATTCTGTGTCTGCCTTGGCCTGATCCTTCCCTTTGTGTTCTTTGACCAGCTGGCCCTAGACATCGATAGGGATGCAGAAGACCAGAACCGGTATCTGGACGGCATGGTAAGGGTCTACAGTATGCACGAGTCACAGCCAGCTCTGTTTCCACATCGTGTTCTACACAATCTCTGTTCTCCAGTGCTGGTGTGGGTGGGTGGTCAAGGTACCGCCTCTATGTGATCCTGCTGGATCCCCTTCCCCAGGACTCGGATTTCACAAGCATGACTGGTCTGCTCACTGGAAGCATGAAGCGCTTTTCCACGATGGCACGGTCTGGGCGAGACAACCGGAAGCTTCTGTGTGGTATGGCTCTGGGTCTGATCGTGGCCTTCTTCATCCTCTCCTACCTCTTGTCAAGGGCAAGGACGTGAACCAGTGGGAGCCAAGGGCAGCCAGGGTTTTCTTCAACCTGGTATCCTGGGCTCTTCAGGACTTAAATCTACAAAATATTCCTTTGAAATTATCATCACGATCAGGAATCTTCTTCCTTTGTGGTGGGAACTGTGACTGCCTCTGACCTGATGAACTCGTTTTGCCTGGTTCCATTTGTGAAGGGGACCCTTTCCTTGCCTAGGGGAAGCCAAGGCCCAGCCCCCATCCCTCCTCCTGGATGCCAGAGACACCCATTCTGAGCAGAGCAGCTCTGAGTCCTGAATGAGTCTACTCATGGCCAGCCGCTCTTTTCTGAGCCTCCCAGTCCTCAGGGGTCTGATATCTTAAGGCTTTTCTGCCCTGTGTTGGCTATGCCTGGATGAGGCTGTGTCTGTGATCTGAAAAGCCCGAGGCTGACACAGGGAGCGGGTATGACTGAGAACCCCATTTGAGCTGTCTCCTCCAATGAAGGGTCCTAAGCCTGGATATAGGACTTATTTGGGTGGACCAGTGTGGGCCAAGAGCCCTGTTCTAAGGACTTTGCTCTCAAGTTCCTGGATGAGATCAGTTCCCCATGAAGATCAGGGGCTGTGGAGGCAGGAGTGCATCATAACCTTACCAGGAGGCACTGGGCTGGRAGCCTTCTGGGTCACATAGTTGTATGTCTAGGAGCATAAATGACGTCTTCAGGATTTAGGAGCTCCCTAGTGCCTAAGATGTATCCCCTGGAAAATAATCAAGAAACAGGCCAGTGTGGCTTTACAAAGTCAGGCAGTTCCTTGGGGAGGTCTTCCCTGTAAGCATCCTCCTTATAGGGGTGGAGATCACCTGTTGAGAGACCTTGTGCTACTTGTAGTGAGAACTTTACACCTCCACCTGCTCTGCCCCACCTTGCCTCCCACAGCTAGTCGCCCTCCCTCCCATAACTTGCTGTGGGGCTGCTCTGAGCTATCATCTTTGTCCCTGACTCTGTAGACTGCCCTTTCCACCTGTTTCCTTGACCCTCACCACTCACTTGTCCAGCTCTAGGCCAATACAGACTGAATTATGGGGCTGGCCAAGCCAGCAGCTGCTGAGGGTCCTCACCTTTGTCTTCACAAGAAAAGTATCTTTAAGGAATTAGCCCTGCAGCTCAGTGTCCTTTTTTGTCTTCATTCTAGTTTGTCTCCCAGTCATTCCCKCTCTTCCCCAGGACTGTTGGCTCACTGTTCCCCACTAGTGTGCCACATCGTGAGGCCTGTCCATCCAGCCATCTCTGAGCTCCATGTTGACACAGAACAGCTGTAGCCTGTCCTCTCAGTGTCCTGGCCACAGTCCCAGGCACCTATCACTTCCTCCTCCTCTATTTAGCAGGTCCTTTTGTCTACACACCCTCACCACAATCCCCTTTTTTCATCTCCTGGCCCTTCCATTGCACCTGCTGAGCCCCTAAGCCTCTAGAGGGGGAGGATCTGCTGCCTTTTGTTTTTTCTCTTCCAGCATGAAGTCAATTCTCACCGCCTCCTTTCTCTGTGTCTTTGTTAATTCCCTGACACTCTCCCAGCTGGGCTGTTCTGGCTTTTGCTTCCTTCTTGGGCATCTCTTCATAGGCCCTGTCACCCTTGTCACCCTCCACAACTTTGGTTTAGCCCTTGGTTCATCACCAAMCATGGTAGCAGTTACCTGTGTTGTGTCGCCACCTGGTCACTACAGGCACTGTAGAGGGCACATCCATATTCCAACTCTACATCCCCGTCATCCTGGGTCATGCACTGCTGAGGACATGGCTGAACTATGGGAACCACCAGATGCCAGGACACACTTGCCAGGGTCAGAGCCCACTTATCTTGCCTGTGATACTAAGGATTTAGACCTGTATTTCATGATGACCTTCCCCTGGAGAAGTGCTTTTGCTGTCTCTGAGACCTCCGAGTTGGGTTTCTTCCTCAGGTCTTCATCTCTGTCCTCAGCACTCTATCTCCACAGCTCTTACAGTTCTTCCAGTAGTTTTCAGGTCTGTTTTGTAGTTCCTTTCTAGTTTACTTGTTTGCTCCTTGTTCTTCTCCTTGCATTCTATGAATTTTATGAAATGGGATGGCAGCCCTACTGCCACTGGGTCAGGCCARTTTCCTGAAGGGTTCTAACCATGGTCCTCCAGCTCAGCCCTGTGTACCTGGCTCCTGACCCTATGGGTAAGTGGGTTTTGCTGACTTGGTCTCCAATACCAGTATTCCAGAAACAGTCTTGGGGGTCCAATGTGAGGGTTGAGAGCCCAGTATGGGGGCCCAGTGTGAGAACAAGCTGCCAGGCTATGCCACAATTCAAGCACATCTCTACAATAAAAATGTGGAATAAATAGCTTTGTGGAGAAGGAAGCACATATTCTTTGTTGTTGTTATTTCCTGCGGATCCAAGAGAGTCTTCGAGTTTACCCTGGTTCACAGGCTCTCCCTTCCCTGTCTTCTGGGAACCCCTTGTCCTCCTAATTTGCTCCTGCAGGACCASCTGCGGCAGTACAGACATAGACCTACCACTTCCTACACTGTATCCCTTCTCTGTCCAAGATTCTGCCTTTCCAGTAGGGAAGATGTTAGTGTTACCTTTTAAGGGATAAGGGGATGAGCATGAAATGCTTGTAATATGCAGCCTGGCATGGACTCAGCTGAGTGAGGGTCAGCAACTGTATTGTGCTTCATGTTGTACAGGTGGTGATATCACAGGTGCATTGGGTAGGGCCACTTGCCCAGCACTGACCTTCCCCAAAGCCCAAGGGAATTCTAGACCTTGCTTCCTGAGGCCTGGCCTCAGGCTGCTGGAAGCCTCTGCAGATCCCTCTCCTGGAACCCAGCTGAGATGCCAGTGATCTGTTCACATTCTCCTCATGTTAGCTGTTAATGCCTAAGATGCCCTGAGACTTAGCATCTTAAAATTGCAATAATAGTCTACATTTCTCACTGCCACTGTGGTCAGAATTTGTGGCATCACGGCATGGCTTTCTCCATTCTGCCATGATAAGGCCTCAGCTGGTAGATATGGGGCTGGGGCTGTATCCCCTGAATGTTCTCTCACATGCTGGGAAGTTAGTGCTGGTGTGAACTGAGGACCTGGTTGGGCTGCTTGCCCTAGATGCTGCATGTGGCATTGWATACATTAAGCTTCCTCTCAAGACCCATGAGGGGTAGTCAGGCAATACCACTTCTGCTGTGCCTTTTTTATAATTCAGGGTAGTCCAGATTCAAAGGTAGGGGCTCAGACCCCACTTCTCAGAGGGAGGGCTGTACTGAGGGAGAAAGCTCATGGGAGGGTAGCACAGGTGTTGGGCAAGGTTTAAGGCTCCTGGGCCTTCCTATTTCCCTGGGAAGACTACTGGTCAGGAAGCCAGATGGGCCCTGTGTGGGCCAGCAATGATAGCCCCTAGTTGCCCCTTTCTGGATGAGCTTGATCCTTCTCCAAGGTAGAACCTTACAAGTGGAATCCGTGATTTATTAAATAATTCAGGCACAGCAGGAAACAAGATTAGCAAATGGGAAGTTAGCATAGAAAAATATCACTGTCGCAACTGTCCAAACAAGCATGCTCTGCCCCACAGGTCCAGGCCAGCCATGGCCCAACTGATGGAGCTTTCAGTTCACTGTCAGCCCTGCAGATCTCTTGTGGGATGTGATATGTACAGGCTGACAGGGGTGGCTGGGGCTATTCCACGTCAACAACCAGGGGTGTCATGTAGTCAGAGTGTTTGATGCCGAAGGTGACAATCGGGGCACAAGGCTTGGTCAGGATCACCTAAGAGAAGAAAGGCTGTGAGGAGGATCCTAAACCCTGACTGGGGCTGGGCTGCTGTTCTTCCTGAACCTGGGGCCAAGATGGCCAGGCTCAAGGCCACATTGTCTATAAACACAGTGCTCAGCATTGACTGGCACAGCATTGGGACGCAGAGCCAGCCAGCTAGAGGAAATGGCTAGGGCATGGGGTCTTTGTACCTGGAGGTTTGCTTTTGGGTGAATACTGGAAATTTACAGGGTCCTGAGGGTACATGGCCTCAGCAGCCCCTGCAAGGTACAGGCCCTTCCCTCCCCCCCCCCCCCCGCCTCCACTCTGGACTGGGTCCCCTGACCCTCACCCAACCCCCTCTAGTCTGCTTGTCCAGGACCTTCTCAGGGCTGTGGGCTCCAGGTCCTGGCTTGAGGGTCTTGTCCCCTGGGGGTTCCACCCGGGCAGCCATGGTGTACTGTGGAGCCTTGAACTTGGTCACCTGCACGTCAGTCTGGCGGTATGCCGCAGGACCTGGGGTCTGGGAGAAGAAGAGGGCTTAGACAGGTTTGGCTGGCCCTAGGCACATGGCCCCAGAGGGCAGGGACAGGTGTCAGGCCCTRAGTCACCAGGGACAGCTCCTAGCTGTCTATCACTATTGGAACAACACCCTACTGCTCATGGAACACCACTGTATGATGTCACCCCCTCAATTTTAGCTTCACTATGATAATCTCCCACTGTATGCCAACCTTGGGCACACCACCTTCGTGTGTATGAGGCACCTTCTCAGGTGGCATGCTGTCCTCTTGAGCATGAGAGCAGTGGCCTTGGCCTGGTGTGTGCTGATGCTGCTTCACAGGCCCACCCTGCCAGCTATTTCCACAGCTGKAACCTCTTCCCCCAGATAGCTCATGCTTGTTTTCCTCCTTCCTTCCTCTGGGCAACATCCCAGATGGGATGTGTTCAATGGTGCCACCACCTCCCATGCTGGGGCCCTGGTCCCTCCTCACTACTAAGTGTAGCCCCAGCATGTGACCAGCCATAGAGGGCAAAGGGGGCATGGGGCCTCAGCAGAGCTCCACTGGTGGGCCCTGGGTGTTGAGAGGAAGGACCAGGCAGTTCACAGGGTCTGTGTTCTGCCCTCGGCTGGTGTGACCCTTGCCTTGTGCAGATCGTCGCTGAAGCTGCCCAGCTTGCTCCGGCCCTTGATGGAATAGGAGGGCTGGGAGACCTTGCCCACCGTGCGTGGCCCCATCACCACAGGCAGCATGTATGCAGCAGGGCCTGTGGGATGGATGAGGAGAAGCCTCAGACCAGAATGTGGCCTACTAGCTCCTTTCTGGGCCTTCTCCACCCTAAGAGAGCAGCTCTCGGGCTGTTCGTTTGCCCCCTCTGGGACCCAACTCCAGTCAGACAGGTTATTGTGGGGGCTGCTGCAGACCTGGGGTGCTGTCCACTCGGAAGGTCTTGGTTCGGGCAGAGATGGAGTGGCTGGGTGCTGAGTCGAACACATGCTTGGTAGATTTCTCTGGAAAGTAGTCACCTGGGGGGCAGTGGAAGGAGGTACACGAACAAAAAGGATGTGGATACCCCCAGCTGTGGCACTCAAGGAGTGTGCCCCAACATTCCAGGCATGAGGTCTTTGGGCCCCCATGTGGGTGATGAATGAGGTTGGTCAGGAGTGTCCAGGATGAAAATACTGACTTTGGGGTTGTTTTTTGAGCTGGGGGAGTAAGGTCTGATGTGGACCTGGCCCCAAGACTCCAAATGAGGGCAAAACTGGAGGGTTTTTTTCCTTTACACCAGATGGTGCCTGGCCCACTGCAGAAAGGGCACAGGAAAGGTGAGGCCCACTGAGTTAGTGCATACCCTGGCCTCAACACGAGCTACCAACATTGGCCACCCAGCAGGGAAGGAAGGGCTCAGGTTAGGAGTCCAAGGTGGGGTCACTCACCTGGGCCAGGTGTTAGCATTGTTTTGGTGTGGTAGCGCCCCAGGATGGAGTAGGCAGGGCCAAGGTCCTTGCCAGTCCTCAGTATCTTAGGGTTCACACTGTAGCGGGGCCCTGGGGAACAGTTCTCTGCCAGGAGCATGGGGGCCCCACGGAAGCTGTAGGCCGGAGCGCGCTGCTTGGTGGGTGTGTGCTTCATGAAGCCTGTGGGCACAGTGGCTCTGAACAGCCTGGAGCCACAAACCCCTCCTCCCCACTGGGAGTCAGGGATTAAGCCCTGGGCCACTGAGGTCACCCAAGCCCACCCCAGGCCATCCCAGGCCTTGCTCCTGGCTCTTCCCCCTGCCCCCCCCCCAAGCTCTCAGATTCTTACCCGTGGTGGGTGGAATCAGGTACTTGGGTCCAGGGCTGCTGTAGAGGGCCATGATGGGCCCCCTGGGGCGATGGGGTCTCCAGGTGCCTACCCATACCTCCTCTGTCATAGCTGCCTCTGTCCATGGATAAGAGGGTGACCAGGTGCTGGGGAGGCCCTGGCCCATCTCATCCTAGCTTCCTATGTCCCCACTTCTGGTCTTGCTGTCACTAATGGGACAGAACCACAGGCCTCCTCTGTAGGGTTTTGAGCTATTATGGGCAGTGGGAGCTTTCTGCTTGGTGTAGTGTAGTGAGCTCACACCTCCAAGGTAAGGAGTTTTGGACTCTGGTGCAAGCCCAGAGGAGCTATCTATTCTGTCCCATGATGGACTCTAAGGGGGCCTGGGCAAGTTCTTCCTACTCAGAGGATCCTGGGTGGGACACAACAATGAGCTGTGGACACTGGTGGGCAGCTTTCTGGCTGACGCTGTGCAATGGGCAGGGAGGGGCCTGCTTGGAGAACCTCACCTCTTTGCAGGAGCAGGCTCAGAGCAACCTTTGACCCAGCCTCCTCACAGGTAGTCCTGTCCCCCTGGCCTCAATGCCAGGCAGTTCCCAAAAAAGGAGCATGGAGAGAAAGACCTCCCTCTCTTCCACAGGGCTTCAAGAATTGGGGAAGGGTCCGAGCTCTTGAGCTCTGGAATGTGGCTCTGTGGGATGGGGTGTTCTAGATCACAATGTATGTGATGGAGACAATGGCCTTTACCCGGGCCCCTTGTTAGGCCCCTGCCTCCCCAGGAACCCCACCCTCCCCAGGCCCCATCCTTACCAGGGACCCCATCCTTACCAGGGACCCTCAACCTTCAAAAGGCCCCATCCTCACCCTGGATTCCCCAACCAGGCCCAAACCTCACCTGGAACCCCATGGTCCTACCTTTGCCAGACCCCACCTTTCCCTCCGTGGGATCCCAGCACCTTCATAAGACCCTACCTTTGCCAGGCTCCACCCTTGCTAGGGACCGCACCCTCTCCAGGCCTGACCTCCGGTATCTGGGACAGGTGCATAGGGGTGGAACAGAGCAAGTGAGATCACATGGTCCACAGCCTGGGTGGCCAAGGAGCCAGCTTGATGATCCCACTCAGCATTGCCCCCACTAGAATCCACTGAGCTATGGAAAAGGTGCTGGAAGGTTCTGGCTGTTGGGAGTCCTGGATCTCAGCTTAGGATCTGTGTTGATCATGGTGGGCAAGAGCTAGCACACTGCTGTTCTGCAGGCTGACCTTCAGACCCTGCTGGCCTGTAGCCCTTGTT